CCCCTGCCTAAAAGTGTTTCTGTCTCAGAAACTGTAGTTTTCAGATCTTGGCCCCACCTTCTTGCTCTTCACCGTCTGTGGAGAAGCTCGGGAATCTGGTGTCTCCTCTCCCTGCTCCTTGCTGGGGCGGCCGGGTGTTGGAGTCACACGCTCTTCCCCTGAGTTTGCACACAGACAGGATGCGTTACTTGTGAGTGGTCCTTCTGCACATGCTTGCTAAAGCACTTAGCAGGTTCTCAGACGAGACCCCCCTGGGCCCTGTGAGTGTGCTAATGAAGCAACATGGAATTTTCACTCTGTCAGCTTTCCCTCAATTGGCGTGGATCCCTTAGGTGGGTCTTCTGCAAACAAGGTTAGTTTTCCCAGGAAATCCTTCACGGAAGCAGTAGAGGGCAGCGAGCGGCCGGGTCTAGCCTGGGAGGCCTCGGGATACAACTCAGCATTCTGGAACGTTCACTGTTTGCGTCTGTGTGTTTTGCCCCCAGTGTGTTCCTGGACGATTTTCTTGCCACCGGGAGGGGCGAGCAGGCCCCGCAGCTGGAGTTTGAGCAGCTGCCCTTCAGCCACCCACTCTTCATCATGTTTTCGTCGGGCACGACCGGAGCGCCCAAGTGCATGGTGCATTCCGCGGGGGTACGTCTCTAACCGTCTGTGCTCTCCTGGGGGCCCAGCTGGCGGAGGTGGGCGTCCGGCTCTGCACCCACACCGCCACCCCAGCCAGACCGCTCCCCCTCCCCAGAGACTGCGGCACGCGGCCCCCCTTCGAGTTGGGGGGCCGCGTGGAGATCGGAGACTGAGCCTAGGCACCTGGAGCTGCTGTTCCAGGCGCTGTTGTTCCAGGCGCTGCCGTGGCGCCCGTCACCACAGTGACCGGTGCGGAGGCCCCACGGTGCGTCCGAGGCAGGGCGCGCGCTGGGTGAGCCCTGACTTCCGCGCTGTGCGCCCGTTTTAGGAGGGGCGAAGCAGAGCAGGGGAGAACGGTGCGTGTGTGTGTGTGCGCGCTCGGTGGTGTGGTGAAACAGGGCCGACCGCGGGCTGTGGTCCGGCACGGAGAGCCGCTGGGTTACGTTCTGAAGTGCAGTTAGGAAGCTGTTCCGGCACAGCTCCAGCACTGTGGTCGTCGTCTGGGCTGCCGTGACCGAGGACCACGGGCTGGCGGCTCGAACAGGAGACGTGTGCTTCTTCCTCACAGCTCCGGGGCTGGAGTCAGATCGGGGGGCCTGGGGTTGGACCCGAGGCCTGTCGCCTTGGCTTGCGGAGGCCGCCGTCTCACTCGGAAGTCCTCCCTCGGTCTTCCCCCTGTGCGGGCGTCCCCGGGGGCTCGTTTTTGCCCACATTTCCTCCTTTTGTAAAAAAAATCCACCAGACTGGATTAGGACCCGCTGCGGCGGTCTCTCTACCTTCTCCACCGGTTCCAAGGCCCCGTCTCCAAATGGAGTCACCCTCCACGGTCCTGGGCCTTAGGGCCTCACAGTGCGGCTCTGGGGACACACAGTTCGGCCCAGAACACATACTTCTCCTTTTCCTGTTTATTTCCTCAGAAGTCCAACCATATTCAAGCACCTGGAATAACGCTTTCCCACTAAGCGTGAGATTTTATCCATATACGAGGGAGAGCACGAGGCCCTGCTTGCAGTCCAAAGGCCCAGTCAGACCTCCCGACCTCCACGCCCGGTCCATTATCGTCATGACGGTCAGGAAAGTCAGTGTCGATGTGATACCGTCACCACTCGGGTGCTTCCACTCTCCCCATGACATCCTTCGCAGCCGCCTGCTGTCGCGCCTCTGGTGTCCTTCCCCTGCCTTCACCTTTCACGACCTTGGCATTTTTGGATTCCCAGCCTCTGGTCTGGCAGAACGGCTGTCTGGGTTCGGTCGAGGTTTCCTGCGGGTTAGATTGGGGCGATGCCTTTTGGAAGTGATGTTCAGGAGGCCCCTGATGTCAGTTTATTTCACGATGGTCATCTAAATGGGTCACTCTCCCGAGGTACAGTTCCTTGTCTGTGACTGTGAGCCCTCCTGGCCTCATCTCCTCCTACCCCGCCTCTGGCCTTGATGGGAGAGCTGCTTTTTGACTCTGGCACAATCGGTCCCCTCCTGGAACTCAGACCCCTCCTGGGCTGGTCTCGGGGGGCACAGGGGCTGCGTGCCTGGTGCTCCTTCCGCAGCCCTGGACTTCTTGCCTGGTCGGTTCTACAGCTTCTCTCCGGGTCCTCTTCCTAGCTTCTCCCTCAGTTGGCTTGGCCTGTGGGGAGGAGAAAAGCCTGCGGTCTCTTGGTCAAACCTTGTTGTGGCCGCCTTTTCTCCCGCTGCTCAGAAGAAGGGGGTTATTCGAGAGGAGAAACGTCCTGTTCGCAGACCGCTTTCCAGCCTTTGCTTGACACGATGGTGGCATTTGAAAATTAAACATAAAGTTTCTCTTCTAGGGCATTTGGCTTTTACAGATGTTCCCTCTGCCTCGAAGCAGTTTGAATCCCTTCTGTACAAAGGGAACATTTACATTTGAATCATTTTAAAGCCTTCTGCAGCTTTTCACACAGTGCTTTCATCAGAATGGGGAAAGCAGTTACCAGTGGCTTCATTATTACCTGGTTTTGGATTCGCTGGAGGTCTGATCGCAGGTTATGACGTAGAGCCTCCAGATGAACACCGAGAGCCCCTGGTGACTTCGCAGGAAACCACAGGGCAGGAGGGAGGGGGGAGTCCGGGGGCCCAAGGCTTTATTTCTAGAAGTGACGTTGGCCAGAGTTGAGTCGCCTTTTTGTAAGAGTGAGTTGACCCTGTTGTTCAAACCTTCCTAGTTTATTAAATCAAGTCGGGAGATGTCATTTGCTGTGGTTGCTGGAATCACATCCTCCCTGGAGAGGAGAGCCCTGGTAGGCCTGGTCACAGGCCCGTTAACGAGCTATAGAGGGGAGCATTTTTAGAAACCTTGTAGACAAGGGTAGGGTCTGCGTGGCAAAACAACAGACATTTTAGGAAAAACCAAAATGTCTCACTGCGTTTTTATTTTTAGTGCTTTTTGCATAGCGAATGTCACTTTTTTAGGAGAGGAACATAAAAATGTATTTGATATAATGTAGCTTGCTCATAAAATCATCATGCCTGGTATATTTAGAGTGTGGAAAAGTCAGGAAAAATTACACTCCTTCTCTCTCTGCCGGGCTGTCGCATCTCCAGAGAAGTGACGAAGCGTCTTGCCTGTTGTCAGCGTTGTCTCCGCCAGAGGCTCGGAGGCAGCCGGGCGGAGGGCCGCGGCGTGGGGAGACCGCTGGCCGTGCCCCGGGTGCGCAGGGGTGCCGGGCCATGCCTGCTCTGCAGGCTGTGTTTTCTACGTCCACAAGAGGTGTCAGAAAGCCGCTTCCCTCTTCTTCCTGTGATATTAAATTCCTCTTCCTGGTTGAGACGCACGGAGTCATGTTGTTCGTCCTTCCCCTCAGACTCACCCATAAATATTTAAAAATTAAGAGCAGAACCGTTGCTGTGAATTAAGATTCATTCAGAGAGAATTTCGAGTGGGAAGCAAAGCCTGGCGTGTTTTGTGCCACCTGAGAGGAGGAGGACAGGCCCCAGCAAGCCCGTGTGGGGTTATACACAGGCCAGGCTTGGAGCAGACCGCGGGGCGAACATACAGGTCTAAACTGAACACCGGTTTTGTTTTATTTTATTTTA